AATATTTAACTAACCCTGCATTCCTGGTATTAAATCCCACATTATCATGGCATATAGTCCTTGTGATATATTGCTGTAATTGCCTTGCTAGTATTTTATTTAAAATTTTCGCATCTATATTCATTAGGGAAATTGGTCTATAATTTTCTTTGTTTTAGCTCTTCCTGGTTTAGGTATCAGCCCATATTTGTGTTACAAAAGGAGTTTGGTAGGACTCCTTTTTTGCCTACTTTTCCAAATAGTTTATACAGTATTGGAATTAAGTGTTCTTTAAATGTTTGGTAGAATTCACCTGTGAACCCATCTGGCTTTGGGGATTTTTTTCTTAGGGAGTAAATTAATCGCTTGTTTAATTTCTTTTTCTAAGATGAGGTTATTTAGGTATTCTATATCCTGATATATTAATCTTGGCAATTTATATTTTCATAAAAATTCATTGATTTTGCTCAGTTTGTCAGATTTATTGGCATATAACTGGGCAAAATATTTCCTGATTGTTTTAATTTTTTTCTTCATTGGTGGTGATTTCCCCCTTTTCATTTTTGATATGGAATATTTGGTTTTCTTCTTTTTAAAAAAAAATCAGATTAACCAATGGCACATCTATATTACTGGGTTTTTTACAAAAGTAGATCCTGTATTTATTTATTAGCTCAATAGTTCTTTTTTAACATTCAATCTTATTAATCTCACCTTTGATTTTCAAAATTTCCTATTTGTTGCTCAATTGGGGATTTTTATTTGTTCTTTTTCTAGTTTTTTTTTTAGTTGCATGCCCAATTCATTGATGTGTTCTTTTTCTACTTTGTGGATGTAAGAATTTAGAGAAATAATTTTCCCCTAAGTAATACTTTGGCTGCATCCCATAAATTTTGGTATGTTGTCTCATCATTGTCATTCTCTTTAATGAACTTACTGATTGTTTCTATGATCTGTTCTTTGACCCATTTATTGTTTAGGATTAGATTATTTAGTTTCCAACTAATTTTTAATATATCTTTCCATTGCCCTTTGTTGGATGTAATTTTTATTGTATTATGATCCAGAAAGAATACATTTAGTATTTCTGCCACTTGATTTTGAGGTGTTTATGCTCTAATACATGGTCAGTTTTTATGTGGGTACCATGTGCTGCTGAGAAAAAGGTATATTCCTTTCTGTTCCCATTCAGTTTTCTCCAAAGGTCTGTCATATCTAACTTTTCTAATATTCTATTTCCCTCCTTAGTTTCTTTCTTGTAGATTTTTTGGTTGGATTTATCACATTTTGAGAGAGGACAGTTGAGGTCCCCCAGTAGTATAGTTTTGCTGTCTATTTCTTTTTGTAACTCACTAAACTTCTCTAAGAATTTGGATGCTATGCCACTTGGTGCATATATGTTTAGTATTGATATTGTTTCATTGGGTGTGGTACCTTTTAGCAAGATGTAGTTTCCTTCCTTATCTCTTTTAATTAGGACTATTTTTGCTTTTACTTTGTCTGAGATCAAGACTGCTACCCCTGCTTTTTTTTTTTTTTTACTTCAGCTGAAGCATAATAAATTCTGCTCCAGCTCCTTACCTTTACTCTGTGTATGTCTCTTTGTACCAAGTATGTTTCTTGTAAACAACATATTCTAGGATTCTGGTTTTTGATCTCCTCTGCTAACCATTTTACGGAAGAATTCATCCAATTCACATTCACGGTTATAATTACTAACTATGTATTTCCATCCATCCTATTTTTCCTTCCGTTTGTCCTCCCCTTTCATCCCTTCCCTCCTCACCAGTGTTTTGCTTCTACCACCTCCCGTGATCTGCCCTCCCTTCTGTCAGTTCCCCCTCACACCTTTATTTAATCTCCTCCCTTCTTACTTCCCTGTTGAGTAAGATAGATTTCTATATTTAACTGATTGTATATATTATTCCATCTTTGAGACAATACTGATGAGAATAAGGTTCAAACGAACCCCATCATCCATCCTCCCATTTTCCCCTCCACTGTAATAGGGCTTTCTTGCTTCTTCAGGTGAAATAATCTAGCCCATTCTACCTCTCCCTTTCTTCTCAATTTCTCATCCCTTGATTATTTTTGTCATTCCCTCAAATTCACCTTATACCCATACCCTTTGCTTATGTATGTTCCTTCTAGCTGTACTATTAGTGATACAATTTTTAAGAATTACAAGTATCATCTTCCAGTATAGGGATGTAAATAGTTTAGCTCTTTTGAATCCCTTATGTTTTCTTTTCCTTTTTTTACCTGTTTATGCTTCTCTTGGATCTTGATATTAGAGATCAATTTTTTAGTTTAATTCTGGTCTCCTTACGGAGGTTTAGAATCCTTCTATTTCATTGAATAACCACTTTTTCCCTTGATGCTTAATTTCACCGGGTAAGTGATTCTTGGTTGTAGTCCTAGCTCCTTTGCCTTCCGGAATATCATGTTCTATGACCTCCAGTCTTTCAATGTTGCAGTTGCTAAGTCCTGTGTCATCCTGATTGTGGTTCCCTGATATTTCAATTGTTTCTTCCTGGCCATTTGCAATATTTTTCCTTGACCTGATAATTCTGAAATTAGGCTATGATGTCCGTTGGAGTTTTTATTTTGGGGTCTCTTTTCTGAGGTGATTGGTGGATTCTTTCAAAGCCAATTTTGCCCTCTAGTTTCAGGATATCAGGGCAGTTTTCCTTGATAATTTCTTGCAAGATACTGTCCAGGTCCTCCTTTTGATTATGGCTTTCAGGAAGTCCAATGATTCTGATATTGTCTCTCCTGGATCCACTTTCCAGGTCAGTTGTTTTTCTCATGAGGTACTTAACATTTTCTTCTATTTTTTCATTCTTTTGATTTTGTTTGAGTGATTGCTGGTGTCTCATAGACTCATTAGCTTCCACTTGCACAATTCTAACTTTTAAGGCTGTTTTCCTCCATTAAGTTTTATATTTTCCTTTTCCATTTGGCCAATTCTACTTTTTAAGCAATTGTTTTCTTTTTTCAAGCTGTTGACTTTTTTCATAATTCTCTTGCATCACTCTCATTTCTTTTCCCAATTTTTCTCTCTTATATGATTTTAAGCTGCTTTTTAAATTCTTCCATGAGTTCTTTCTGGGCTTGAGACTAATGTTGCCCTGAGGCCCATGGGGGACCCTCGTGTCTGGTGCTGTGAGGAGGGGGTGGAATGAGGATGGTTGGTGCTGCTGGAGGCCATAGGGGTCTGGCAACTTACCTGATGCTGAACCGGGGTCCTAGTGATGCTGTCTGGCATGTGCTGAGGCAAGTGGGGTGTTTCTGCCTGGGGACACTCTGAAGCAGGTGGAGATCTGGCCACTAGTTCAAATATTGTTTCACCCTATCTTTTTGCTGGTTCTGCTATTCCAGGATTTGTTTTGGGTGCTATTTTAATTATAATTTTTATTTTATTTTTAGGCAATTGGAGTTAAGTGACTTGCCCAGGGTCACACAGTTAGTAAGTGTCAAATATTTGGTCTGAGGCCGAATTTGAACTCAGGTCCTACTGAATCCAGGGCTGGTGCTCTAACCACTGCACCACCTAGCTGCCCCTTAGGGTGCTATTTTATGGTTATTTCGAGGTGGATATCAAATTTACTGCTTACTCCATCATCTTGGCTACCAGAAGTCCCATGCTTTTCAGTCTTTTTTTTTCTTCAAAAAGTGCAGTGGGCTGAATGTGGGAGTTAGAGGCAGGAAGATCTGAGTTTGAATCCTGCCTTCACATTCTCATACCTAGTTTCCTCATTTGTAAAATGGGGACAATAACAGCACCTCCTTCACAGGATTGTTGTGGGGAATCAAAGGAGGTAACATGAAAAGTCATTGGCAGGGAGTCCAGCTTGGTAGTTGAGAGAGAGAGAGAGAGAGACAGAGAGAGAGAGAGACATCCATTTTATATCTTTCAAGGCTTGGGGTGACACTGTAGGTATGAATTCTGCTCACATCTCTTGGAGGAACTGGAAACTCCAGGCGTTGGTGCAAGGACAGGGAGGGGAGTTTATGTCATTCTTGTTTGGGTGGGACATCTGTTGGATCTGAAAAGAATGGATCCCTTAGGCTTTGCAAATCATAGTTTAGTTGTTCAGTCATGTCCGACTCTTCATGACACCTTTTGGGGTTTTCTTGGCAAAGATACTGAATGTTTTGCCATTTATTTCTCCTGGTCATTTTACAGATGAGGAAACTGAAACAAACAGGGTTAAGTGACTTGCCAAGGGTCACACAGCTTGTAAGTGTTTGAAGTCAGATTTGAACTCAGGAAGATTAGTCTTCTTGACTCCAGGCCCTGTACTCTATCCACTGTGCCACTTTCTTGCCCTTACAAATCATTAAAGTGCCATAAATATGCTATCTCACTACTAGTTGAGCTCATGAAGCATCACAACCAGGTTGGGAGCCCTGGGTTCAATTTTTGCTCCACAGCAACTCACCCATTCTAGCTACTAACCCATAGAGTGACCAGGAACCTGGAGGGTGGGATGGGGTGAAGGCATCCGTGTGGAATACACACCAACGAAATTACAGCTACTCCAAAACAGTGTGGTGCCCTGGAAAGAGTGCTGAACTTGGATTCTGGGAACTTGAGTTCAAATCTTTCTCTTCCCCTTTCTGCCTATGTGGCCTTGGCCAAGTCACTTCACTGTTCCAGGGCTGTTTTCTCATCTGTAAGATGAGGTGGCTAGGCTAGATGCCCTGCAAGGTCTCCCTTCCAGCTCTAAATCTATGATGCTGTACTGTAAATGGGTTGAGGGCTCCAAGACTGGGGGTAGGTGATTAATTTTTAGGGAAGAAGTGTGGAGAATAATCCGAGGAATATTTCATCCCTTAGCCTCTCTTCTTTGTCCTGCTAGATCCTTCAGTGGCTGAAGAACTCTAGTTTAAGCCTGACAAGGTGATCTGAGCTCCTAAATGTGCTCCTCAGGCACCTCCCACCCTGCCTAGTCACGCCCAGCTAAATGAGGACACCGTAGAGGGCCGGGCGCCTCCTCTGTTCATAGACAAATGAGGAAGCAGCCGTGAGGAGGTCGGGAAGCTCTCACCCAGAGAGCTGCTGCCTGTTCCTGGGACACCTGGGATGGAAGGAAGCGGTGCAGGCTTCCTCCAGTGTGCTCAGGGAGCAGATGCCTGGAGGCCGGCCAGTGGGTGAGGAGGGAACTTGGCGCTGGGGGTAGCAAGTGGAGGTGGGGCGTCGGGAGGGCTCCCTCAGGTGGTGTATGGACCTTTCTACGGAAACACTTTCTTCCGAGGCTCCGGAGATCCTGGCTGTACTGTGGGTGCGGGTAAGGTGCTCCCTAGAGTAAGAAACAAAAATCCAAGGAAGGGATTCGCCCGGGCGCACGCAGCTCACCCACAACATTCATTCTATTTCTGAGGGACGGGAACGATGGGACCTGGTTTAGGGGACTCTCTGGGGGTGAATCCTATCCACATCTCTTGCGGAACGAGAAATACCAGGACCTGGAGCGAAGCGAGGAGGGAGGAGGGATGTTATAGAGCCATTTTTTTGCTTGGGTGGAGCATCTAGTGACCCGACCCATACCTCCGGACCCTCGGGAGGAGAAGACCTCTTAGCATTTGAATGTATGTTGAGGGCAGGGTGAGGTGGGGAAGAGAAAGGAGAGAAAATCTCCTAAGCGGAATCTTTGTTTGTTTTGAGAAGAAGCTTGTGGGAACTGCTAGGGACTTAAGGTGGAAACACTGCTAACGTTTATCCCCAGTGCATAATGCAGCGTCTTGGACCTAGAGTTCCCTAGGAGGAGAAGGCTACTCAAAATCCAGCTTTGCCGGCAAATCTTTTCTCCAAGAACACAGAGGCGGTCTTCCAGCTGCAAACATTGTCACCCCTGGTTAGTTCTCTGGGGCCCCACCCTTTGGCTCCGGCTACTTCGGGGAGATCCTAAAGCCGGAAAAGCTGGGTGACTCTCGGCTGCTACAATTGGCACCTAAGCACACCCTATCCTCTCTGTAGCCAAGTATGGTGATTTTGTCCTGGCTTCTTTCCGGTTTCATCTTGGCTTTTCTTCACTTTGCCAGATCAGGTGAGTTTAACTTAGTAAATAGGTGTCAAGGACTTGCCTTATATACCATGCCTTTCAGAATCTCTCCACCTCTTTGAACTCTAAGATTGTCCCATGAGAGAGATCTCCATCAATTAGAACTCTGAAAAGAGGACCACAGTGGCCAAAAATCTGTGTGATTGTAGGATCTGAAGTTAGAAGAGACTTTAAAAATAGTTTAATCCAAGCTCTTCATTTTACTGATTAGGAAACTGAGGCCTAGAGATCTTGGGAGACTTGTCTTAAGTCACATAAGAAGTAAATAATAAAGCAAAAATTTAAACCCGGGTTTTCTGGCCCTCCAATCAGGACTACATTCTACACTGAATTGGGTTCTTCATAGTATAAATCCACCCTTAATGAAATGGAAAGAACTCAGAGAACCTGGGTTTGAATTCTTGCATGTTAAAGAAAGTATGCTTAGTATTAGAATTCACTCACCAAAATGAACAGATCTTGTATCTGGATACAATAAGGTTAATTGTCAATTGTTAATTATATTATTAATATGTACTATGTGAAGTCAGTCAAGCTACTTGAGATCATATGTTGAAAGGTGTAGCCTGAGATTTATAATATACTTGGGAAAACAGAAATGAAAATACTCTCCTACTATGTCAGACCTTATAAGAGGTTAAGTGAAATGCATACATTTGTGATCTTGAGGAAAGTTAAAGGAAGTATAAAAGAGAAGTGGTTAGTTTCAAGAAATTAAGGAATTTACAAAAATGACCTTTAAAATGTACTGGTGTGTGAGGGAGTCCATTTCGTCAGAAAACAAAACAAAAAGAAGCCTTAGAATTGGACACAACAAACTACCTAACTGTGAGGAAGGGGCATAGAAAAATAGATTGGTTGAAAGATGGTGTGGCTGATCAGTAGATTTGAGCCAGAGTTGAAGGACGTTAGAGACTTACCTTGGCAATATGGAAGACAACATGGGGGTAATGATATGTGTAGAAGTAAGAGGAAGTAGTTGTGCATATCTGACATCTTTGAAGAGCTTCAGGATCTCATGCAACTAACTGAAAATTCCTCTACAAATCTGTATACTGTCCTTATTTTCAGACATTCACTTTAAATTTAACTTTAACTCTTAACGATCATAGACCAAATAACACACATTATCAGCTTCCCAGAGAACCCTTGTATTGACTAAAGGGTCAAGGAAAGGCACCTAAGGTTATTGAATACTTACAGAATGAATAAAAGAAAGAATGGAGAATTTTCTTTGTTGCTCACCCTTCTTTTTCCCCTCCTTTTCCAATAGAGAAATGCAAAGTCAGCACAGAAAGTCAACATTTTGTAGCAGGGCAGCCTTTTGCTCTTTCTTACACAATCATAGAAGTGAAGAACAATCATGGGAATGTGACTTGCTATAAAAATTCAAGCGAAACTCCAATAACTCTGGATAGAAATTCCAGAGTCCACCAGTATCTGGGTTGGATTTTATTTCTTCCTTTGACATTGGAAGACTCAGGAATATATCAATTTGTCATAAGGTAAGTTTGCTGTTTCAAAGAAAGAAATACACACAAAAGATACTGTTTGTCTTATTGTAGGAAAGCTCTACTTAAGTAGAGAAAATGAGAGGATGAATTTAATGTTGTATTCTTATTCTTATCGTGATATGGTTGAGTTGAGATAAGATCTAGATCTGGAAGACCTGAAAGAGTTCAACCCCTAATTTACAAACTGGTTATATATCTTCTTGTTTGTCAGTTTGGCAATTAGAACATGCTTTCTGTAGAATCAATGCTGTAAATATTGATTAGATTCCAATGCAGACCATCCCAAAAGCCAATTTAACCAATAATATAGCTAATATTATTTGTTGCTAATAGTCAACCAATCAATAAACATTTATTAAGTACCTACTCTGTGCCTGGTACTGCACTAAGAGCTGGGGACACAAAAAGAATCAAAAGACAATCCCTGCCCTCAAAAAGCTTACAGTCTAATGAGGGGGACAACAAACAAACAAGCTATATGCAGGATAAATAGAAAATAACCAAGGGGAGGAACTAGAATTAAGAGCGATTTTAAAAGGCTTCTTGTAGAAGATAGGATTTTAGTTGGGACTTAAGGAAGCCAGAGAAACTAGTAGGTAGGAATGAAGAAGGAGAGCATTCCAGGCTTGGAGGAGAGCCAGAGAAAATGCCCAGAACTGAGAAATGGAGTCTTATTCATGAAAAATCAAAGCAGCTAGTGTCACTGAATCAAAGAGTACCTGGTAGGGAGTAAAGTGTAGGAAGATGGGAAAAGTAGAAGGGGAGCACGTTATGAAGCAGAGGATTTTATATTTGATCCTAAAGTCATTAGGGAGCCAGTAAAATTTATTTTGAGAGTGTGTGTGTGTGTGTGTGTGTGTGTGTGTGTGTGTGTGTGTGTGTGT